TTGATCTTAGCCAAAAGGCCGAGAAAGGTATATATCTTTCAATTTTTTTCAATTCACCTTCACTACCTACCTACCACTACTCCCAAGGCTTATACAGGGGACCCCTGCGAACATAGCTTTGTTGTCTCCCTCCAGCCATCAGAGGGGATGCATGCTCAGTCTTTGCGTTAGCAGGACCCACCCCATCATTGAATATAACATGGTTTTCTAATATATATATATGCATCATGTACATCTTTTTGGAAGAACTTGTCACAGTGATCTCTTCTAATAGCTACCCTGTCAAAATTCACGAAAATTATATTCAGGGGCTCGCCACACAACCTTTCGAAACGTGCAAAATGGATGGATGCCGAAGTCATGCTGCATCTTCGCCACACAGGCTTTCAAAACAAGTCCTTTCGAAAAACTTTTGAAAGGTGTCAGAGATGCGGGCATAGAAAATACTTTCGAAAGGGCAATATCCTCCCGCCTTTCACCAGTGTTTCTTCGAAAGACCCTGTCAGTGAGTGGTCTTTTGGACGATGGCCTTGAGGTAACCAGCCCAGGCAAAATTCACTCTTGTGTCTAATCTGACACCCGGTGGCCTTTTCAGTCCAGGGTGGCCTTTATTTATTGCCTTCAGGGAGCCCCCGAATGGGGAACATTCACACCCGCCAGGGGACAGCCGGTAGCAGAGGGACCGAGCATCATCTGAGTGCCTCCCCAATTTACCCCTCCCCTTATGAACATCAGCGGAGACTGCTTTTTGATGCCAACTGGGGGTACCAACGGGCTATCCGTACGTCGTGGGCGACAAGCATGCGTAGGAAGGTACATGAGGCCAATGTATGGGGATTGATCCCAAGACCTCCTGAATGCCACTTGCGTGCCTTAGGGCCAGATCCCACTCGCCCCTATTGTTCATTTCTGACCGTTGATCTTCGTAATCGAATCCAGGGTAGTGAGATCTGACCCTTACCAACTGAGTTAGGCCGCTGGTTGGAAAGAGCCTCTTTTTCTTTTTTTTTTTTTTTTTTTTAAGGGCGATGACCTTGAGATATTATCATCGGACTAACCAGCCCAGATAAATTCAATCTTGTGTCTAATCTGACAACGGTGGCCTTTTCAGCCAGGGTCAATCTTGTGTCTAATCTGACAACGGTGGCCTTTTCAGCCCTTCACAGTGAGAATCTCCCCTTCACAGTGAGATTCTCATCGTCCCCCACCCTTCAGCTGAAAGAGGGTTGGGGCCGCCAGTGGGGGTCTGGCTAACACAAAGACCCAGACCTGCCAGTAGCTGTGCCTCCCTTTCTCATCGTCCCCCACCCTTCAGCGAGCAGCAGCAGAGGCTATGGCCAACACTCTCCCACACACCACGCACAACCCACTCGCGCTCACACTCACACCCGTGTTGGTCATAGACCCCGCTAATACGGATCACGGGTCTCCAGAGGACTATCACGGTCCGTTGGCACTAAGTGCACCGCAGGCGGCCATGGGGTTTGAACCCACAACCTCCTGAATGCCACTTGCATGCCTAACCAACTGAGCTAGGCCGCTGGATTTAGCATGGCCCCTGCGCAAGGATGACACGGAAAAAAAAAAAAAAAAAAAAAAAAACCACCTCCACAGTCTGTCGGTGGGTATTTGAACCCCATCAACATGCCCGACACGGCGTGAATGAACCGTAAAGGGCAGATTTGATCGGTTCTCGTGGGAAGGGGAATGTGAAGGACTGTTTAGCGCAAGACGAGATCACGAGAGACCAGAAGAGAGAGCCGTGTCTGTCTTATGCGTTGATTCCTGATGCGCATAGCCGGCACAGTCAGTGCGTAAGGACGAAGAAGCGGAAGTAGGAGAAGGAGTCGCCATAGCCTGCACAGTCCGTGAGCGAAGGCGAAGAAGACAAGGAGAAGGAGAAGGAGAAGAAGGAATCGCCATAGCCAGCACCGTCACTGAGTGAAGACGAAGAAGACGAGAAGAAGGAGAAAGAGAAGAAGGATTCGCCATAGCCGCACAGTCGGTGAGTGAAGACGAAGAGGACGACGGAGAAGGAGGAGGATTCGCCATAGCCGGCACACAGTCAGTGAGTGAAGACGAAAGGAGAGGAGAAAGAGGAGAAGAAGAAGAAGAAGGAAACGAATAAGAGGACAAGGAGGACGACGACGAGGAGGACGACGACGAGGAGGAGGAGAAGAAGAAGAAGGGAACGAGGGGGGGGGGGGGGGGGAGGATATGACCGAGGTGTGCGGCACTCGCCGGTGTTCCCGAGGTTTTCGTTGACGTCAGCTGTTCCGCTTACAGGTGTGCGGCGTTCGCCAGTGTTCCCGAGGTTTTCGTTGACGTCAGCTGGTCGAAAACTCTGCGTACGGTCATATTCGTTTGGCACTTTTTTGTGGAGCTGATCACTGTCTGATCTGATCTGATCTGATCTGATCTGATCTGATCTTATTTAGTTTGGGTTTGCCATCTGAACGTGGTAGTGGTGGTGGTGCAAGTGTGATTGGTATTCCGATCTCGAATTTAGTGCAGGCAAGATGTGCTACACCGTTCCTTGCAACTCGTGCGGCCGCACTACCTGGGGCGGATGCGGACAGCACGTGAAGAGTGTGTACGATCGCCTTACCGAGGCGCAGCGCTGCAACTGTAAGCCGTGGCCGGGCTGCGCTCCCCAGGGCTCCAGCAAAGGTGATGGAAAGAAATGACACAAGAGAGAGAGAGAGAGAGAGAGAGAGAGAGAGAGAGAGAGAGAGAGAGA